GTTTTTGCATTTGATTTTCATTGGTTTATCTGCAAGGTCAGGCACGGTGTCTCCAACCAGCTCTCAACGCCCCACCAGTCCTACAGGATGTAAAGGGATTCTATTGTGTTCCTCTGTTTGCCCTTGTTTTTATTTGCACTTAAATTCATCTTACTATTTTTGGTTAGGGATTTCCTTTTCTTATGAGAAGTGTTATCTTTGGCAATTATTGTCCAAGGGGCGGAGCTTAAGCAAAGTTCCACTTCGGTTGCTAAGCGGATTTACTGAAAATCCATCAGTGAAAAGAATCCAACAAAAGGACAAACTGCATACACCACGGACAGAGGAGAACAAAATAGCTGTGCCCAAATATTGAGAGTCGACGCAAGGGAGAAAACATGAAAAATATAGATTGAGGCAAGTGGTAAGGTGGATAGTAGAAGATAAAAGGGGTATAAGGAAAAGAAAATTGAAAAGAAAAAAGTTGCATGTCGTACTTGTTTTGCCTTTGCAGCCCTCTTGTTCAATGGTTGGAACATTGCATTTTTATGACCTGAGTTTTCTTAAACTGTGCTGCCACCATGATGCGCATCTTTTTTCCATTTACAAACAAACGAAAACTAAAGAGTTTCACTATATTAAAGAACCTTACCTATTAGCTGTGTGACACTGTAGGTGCAAGAGAAATTATATTGTTACAGACACTGAGCTTATTGTGTGTGGATACTATGACAAGCTTCTGTTTTTTTTTTAACTGTAAAAAGAAAGCTATACGTCAAGCCCCAGTGGCCTAATGGATAAGGCACTGGCCTCCTAAGCCAGGGATTGTGGGTTCAAGTCCCATCTGGGTTGCACCAACATGGGGTTGAATTTGAGCATGGCACTTAGCATCCCCCAAATGTACAGTTTTATTCATTGATGAGGTTTAATCATGAAGACAAGCAGTCGTGTAAACCCAACAGGGTTATTCACTAAAGTGAAAAATGATCAGGAATTCTAAGTTTCAATTTAAAGACCCAAGTGGACAATTTTCTCCAAGTTACTTACACCTTCAGTTCGGTTGAGTCGTCCTTGATTTTAAAATTCAATTTAAATTCTGGACAATTCTCATTTTAGTGAATATATCTGTACGATTATGAAATTGCCACATGAAACTTGCATTCAACTCATTAGAAGCTAATTGAGGACACTTTGACAGCGCAGGTTTGGGTGAAAACACAGTGATCACAGAACAAGCAGCAAGCTCTAGTGACGCAATCGGTTAGCGCGCGGTACTTATAAGGCAGTATTTGTTGAGCAATGCTGAGGTTGTGAGTTCAAGCCTCACCTGGAGCAGTTTTTGCATTTGTTTTTCATTGGTTTATCTGCAAGGTCCACCAAGGTGTCTCCAACCGGCTCTCAACGTCTCACCAGTCTTACAGGACGTAAAGGGATTCTATTGTGTTCCTCTGTTTGCGCTTGTTTTTATTTGCACTCAAATTCATCTTACTATTTTTGGTTAGGGATTGCTTTTTTTTATGAGAAGTGTTATCTTTGGCAATTTTTGTCAAGGGGCGGAGCTTAAGCAAAGTTCCACTTCGGTTGCTAAGCGGATTTACTGAAAATCCATCAGTGAAAAGAATCCAACAAAAGGACAAACTGCATACACCACGGACAGAGGAGAACAAAATAGCTGTGCCCAAATATTGAGAGTCGGCGCAAGGGAGAAAACATGAAAAATATAGATTGAGGCAAGTGGTAAGGTGGATAGTAGAAGATACAAGGGGTATAAGGAAAAGAAAATTGAAAAGAAAAAAGTTGCATGTCGTACTTGTTTTGCCTTTGCAGCCCTCTTGTTCAATGGTTGGAACATTCCATTTTTATGACCTGAGTTTTCTTAAACTGTGCTGCCACCACGATGCGCATCTTTTTTCCGTTTACAAACAAACGAAAACTAAAGAGTTTCACTATATTAAAGAACCTTACCTATTAGCTGTGTGACACTGTAGGTGCAAGAGAAATTATATTGTTATAGACACTGAGCTTATTGTGTGTGGATACTATGACAAGCTTCTGTTTTTTTTTTTACTGTAAAAGGAAAGCTACGTCAAGCCCCAGTGGCCTAATGGATAAGGCATTGGCCTCCTAAGCGAGGGATTGTGGGTTCATGTCCCATCTGGGGTGCACCAACATGGGGTTGAATTTGAGCATGGCATTCAAATTTAGCATCCCCCAAAAGTACAGTTTTACTCACTGATGAGGTTTAATCATGAAGACAAGCAGTCGTGTAAACCCAACAGGGTTATTCACTAAAGTGAAAAATGATCAGGAATTCTAAGTGTATTTCAATTTAAAGGCCCAAGTGGACAATTTTCTCCAAGTTACTTACACCTTCAGTTCGGTTGAGTCGTCCTTGATTTTAAAATTCAATTTAAATTCTGGACAATTCTCATTTTAGTGAATATATCTGTACGATTATGAAATTGACACATGAAACTTGCATTCAACTCATTAGAAGCTAATTGAGGACACTTTGACAGCGCAGGTTTGGGTGAAAACACAGTGATCACAAAACAAGCAGCAAGCTCCAGTGGCGCAATCGGTTAGCGCGCGGTACTTATAAGGCAGTATCTGTTGAGCAATGCCGAGGTTGTGAGTTCAAGCCTCACCTGGAGCAGTTTTTGCATTTGATTTTCATTGGTTTATCTGCAAGGTCAGGCACGGTGTCTCCAACCAGCTCTCAACGCCCCACCAGTCCTACAGGATGTAAAGGGATTCTATTGTGTTCCTCTGTTTGCCCTTGTTTTTATTTGCACTTAAATTCATCTTACTATTTTTGGTTAGGGATTTCCTTTTCTTATGAGAAGTGTTATCTTTGGCAATTATTGTCCAAGGGGCGGAGCTTAAGCAAAGTTCCACTTCGGTTGCTAAGCGGATTTACTGAAAATCCATCAGTGAAAAGAATCCAACAAAAGGACAAACTGCATACACCACGGACAGAGGAGAACAAAATAGCTGTGCCCAAATATTGAGAGTCGGCGCAAGGGAGAAAACATGAAAAATATAGATTGAGGCAAGTGGTAAGGTGGATAGTAGAAGATACAAGGGGTATAAGGAAAAGAAAATTGAAAAGAAAAAAGTTGCATGTCGTACTTGTTTTGCCTTTGCAGCCCTCTTGTTCAATGGTTGGAACATTCCATTTTTATGACCTGAGTTTTCTTAAACTGTGCTGCCACCACGATGCGCATCTTTTTTCCGTTTACAAACAAACAAAAACTAAAGAGTTTCACTATATTAAAGAACCTTACCTATTAGCTGTGTGACACTGTAGGTGCAAGAGAAATGATATTGTTACAGACACTGAGCTTATTGTGTGTGGATACTATGACAAGCTTCTGTTTTTTTTTTTACTGTAAAAAGAAAGCTACATGTCAAGCCCCAGTGGCCTAATGGATAAGGCACTGGCCTCCTAAGCCAGGGATTGTGGGTTCAAGTCCCATCTGGGGTGCACCAACATGTCCAAGGTGGGGTTGAGCTTGAGCATGGCACTCAAATTTAGCAGCCCCCAAATGTATAGTTTTACTCACTGATGAGGTTTAATCATGAAGACAAGTAGTCGTGTAAACCCAACAGGGTTATTCACTAAAGTGAAAAATGATCAGGAATTCTAAGTGTATTTCAATTTAAAGCCCCAAGTATATCAATTTTCTCCAAGTTACTTACACCTTCAGTTCGGTTGAGTCGTCCTTGATTTTAAAATTCAATTTAAATTCTGGACAATTCTCATTTTAGTGAATATATCTGTACGATTATGAAATTGCCACATGAAACTTGCATTCAACTCATTAGAAGCTAATTGAGGACACCTTGACAGCGCAGGTTTGGGTGAAAACACAGTGATCACAGATCAAACAGCAAGCTCCAGTGGCGCAATCGGTTAGCGCGCGGTACTTATAAGGCAGTATCTGTTGAGCAATGCCGAGGTTGTGAGTTCAAGCCTCACCTGGAGCAGCTTTTGCATTTGTTTTTCATTGTTTTATCTGCAAGGTCCACCAAGGTGTCTCCAACCAGCTCTCAACGTCTCACCAGGCTTACAGGACGTAAAGGGATTCTATTGTGTTCCTCTGTTTGCGCTTGTTTTTATTTGCACTTAAATTCATCTTACTATTTTTGGTTAGGGATTGCCTTTTCTTATGAGAAGTGTTATCTTTGGCAATTATTGTCCAAGGGGCGGAGCTTAAGCAAAGTTCCACTTCCGTTGCTTAGTGTATTTACTGAAAATCCATCAGTGAAAAGAATCCAACAAAAGGACAAACTGCATACACCACGGACAGAGGAGAACAAAATAGCTGTGCCCAAATATTGAGAGTCGACGCAAGGGAGAAAACATGAAAAATATAGATTGAGGCAAGTGGTAAGGTGGATAGTAGAAGATACAAGGGGTATAAGGAAAAGAAAATTGAAAAGAAAAAAGTTGCATGTCGTACTTGTTTTGCCTTTGCAGCCCTCTTGTTCAATGGTTGGAACATTCCATTTTTATGACCTGAGTTTTCTTAAACTGTGCTGCCACCACGATGCACAACTTTTTTCCGTTTACAAACAAACAAAAACTAAAGAGTTTCACTATATTAAAGAACCTTACCTATTAGCTGTGTGACACTGTAGGTGCAAGAGAAATGATATTGTTATAGACACTGAGCTTATTGTGTGTGGATACTATGACAAGCTTCTGTTTTTTTTTTTTACTGTAAAAAGAAAGCTACACGTCAAGCCCCAGTGGCCTAATGGATAAGGCACTGGCTTCCTAAGCCAGGGATTGTGGGTTCAAGTCCCATCTGGGGTGCACCAACATGGGGTTGAGTTTGAGCATGGCGTTCAAATTTAGCATCCCCCAAATGTATAGTTTTATTCACTGATGAGGTTTAATCATGAAGACAAGCAGTTGTGTAAACCCAACATAGTTATTCACTAAAGTGAAAAATGATCAGGAATTCTAAGTGTATTTCAATTTAAAAACACAGTGATCACAAAACAAGCAGCTAGCTCCAGTGGCGCAATCGGTTAGCGCGCGGTAATTATGAGGCAGTATGCTGAGGTTGTGAGTTCAAGCCTCACCTGGAGCAGTTTTTGCATTTGATTTTCATTGGTTTATCTGCAAGATGTCTCCAAACAGCTCTCAACGCGTCACCAGTCCTACAGGATGTAAAGGGATTCTATTGTGTTCCTCTGTTTGCCCTTGTTTTTATTTGCACTTAAATTCATCTTTCTAATTTTGGTTAGGGATTGCCTTTGCTTATGAGAAGTGTTATCTTTGGCAATTTTTGTCTTAAGCAAAGTTCCACTTCGGTTGCTAAGCGGATTTACTGAAAATCCATCAGTGAAAAGAATCCAACAAAAGGACAACCTGCATACAGAAGTCACACATAAGTGGCCTGGATGTTTGATTTCAGTATAAACTAACTCTCTCCTTTGCCATATGTCTTGATTCCCTCTTAGATAAGGAGTCCTTTGATATGAACAAGCCTTGTGTTCCAATATCACATCCAAAAAATACATTAATACTCAAGCCTCATTTTTATCAAATTTAGAATGGGACAAGCACAATCTTCCAATCAAGCCTAAACATGATTTGCGAACAAGGATATCCCACAGAATCTGTTAAAGTGGACCAAGGGACACAGGAGTGTAGTGAAGAATGTGAACACACACCACTGAAAGAAAAATCAACCTTCTTTCCTAAACACATGATTTTGGATCAAATAAAAGCATTTGAGATCATGGTTATGAAGGAAGCGGACAAAATAAAAAAGGTGAATGAATACCAACATAATCTATCTAAAAAAGAGAAGAAATCCCTGGAAAATGAGGAAAGATAAGAATTTTATAATCAAGCCAGCCGATAAAGGGGGAGGAACTGTTATTTTCGATAGAGAAAAATATAGAAAGGAGGCAGAGAGACGTCTCTTGGACCCTCAAACATACAAACTATTACCATCTAACCCTATAGAAAACATAAAAGAGAAGTTCAGGTCATATATAGAGAAAAGGAAAGAATTACAAATTCTAAATGAGAAAGAAGCTAAATATCTGTTAATGATCAATCCACAGTTACCAGTCTTCTATCACTTGCCCAAGGAACACAAGGATATAACTAATCCCCGAGGAAGACCTATCATATAAGGAATTGACTCAGTATCAGCAAGAGTTTCTGAATACATAGACATTCTGTTACAGCCATTAGTAGTTAAAAATCCATTTTATTTAAAAGATACTATCCATATGCTACAAATTCTGGAACAAACTGGAAAGAAGGATATATGTTGGTCACATGTGACGTTAGTTCACTGTATAGCATAATTCCCCATGAAAAAGGTATTGAATTAGTTAAACATTTTTAGAATAATCACATTTAAAAGAAGAACAGATAGATTTTATACTGATGGGGATTTTGACCAATAATATTTTTTGGTTTCAGGAACAGTGTTTTCTACAAATATGTGGTACGGCGATGGGCACTAAGTTTGCTCTCAGCTATGCCAATTTATTTATGGCATATAGGGAAGAACACTTTAATTCCCAGGGGCATGGCTGGGTAGCAAACTTAGTGTTCTATCGCTGATATTTAGATGATATATTTTATATTTGGACAGGCAATAGCACAGACTTGGATGATTTCTGAAAGTTCCTCAACAACAATGATTGGGGAATCAAATTAACATGCACTAGAAGCTTCACTGACATTAATGTTCTTGACTTAAACATTTGCATCAAAGACTCTTGCATCAAAACCAAGAACTACTTCAAACATCTGGACACGAATAGTTACATAGACAGAACCAGCTGTCACCATAAACCCTGGTTAATGAATGCTCCAAGGGGACAGTTCCTTAGTATAAGAAGGAACTGTACATTAGAACAAGCTGAACACTTAGAGAAACATATTTTGGAGAGATGTTATGAAGGAAGAAATCTTAGGAAGAACCTAGAAGAGGTGAAACATTTATCGAGGGAGCAACTTCTTATATAAGAACAAAACTATAATGGAAACACCAGGAAAGTACAACAGGCCATAAGAAAATATTGACATATCCTAAGAGATGACCCGGTTCTAAATAAAATCAAAGCCCCTGAACCTAAAATAATTTAGAGGGGAACCAAAAATCTAAAAAAAGATTCTAGTTAAGAGCTGCTTGGAGACTGAGAAACCAAGAAATTTTTTAAAGACCTTTTGGGTTATCATTGATGTGGGAACTGCTTCCCATGTAGGGGAACAAAGAGTAACAAGAGACACCTTACTGACCTAAGCCACATTATAGGGAAACAGCATACCATCAAAGACCATCTAACCTGCCATCCAAAAGGTGTCATATATGTTTTAAAATGCCCATGTAGTCTTTTATACATAGGCAGAACCATTCGACCACTTAATGTTAGGATAGCTGAACATATACGAAACATTAAAAACGGTTAGAAACCCATAGTGTTTCCCAACATTTTAAGACGACATAATCATGACCCAAAATACCTATTGTTCTGTGCCTTAAAAGCAGTTAAAAACAATTGGAAAGGAGGGGATTTTATTAATAAATTAGGTAAGGAGGAAATGAAATATATTTTCAATGTTAATACCCTCATCCCGCGCGGACTCAATTCAAACTTTGAGATATGCCACTTCCTAAAATAGATAAGCTAGGAGGCAAAAAAAAAAAAAAAAAGGTTTTATAAAGGCTTATTATTAAATTTGTTAATTAATATTTTTATATTCATTATTGTATTTATATATTCTTCTTCCCCCTTATCTCTATATATATCCACATGAACATTTTGTATATATTTCTATTTTTATTTGTATATACATTTTAGTGATGCTAAAAACACACTCCCCATTATAGGGAGAGGTTCATTTTATATGTTTATTTAAGCCTATTAACATTCATCTGTTCCATCCTATTTTATAGTCTAATATTGACTATTAGTTACTACCTTTACTATTCCATTAGTTATCTAATAGTACTATTTTTATTAGTCACTATCAACTTCGCGTTAATATGCACATCTGTCATCACTTTTACATTTAATATTAACATATCTAATAGTCCCATTGAAAGTTCTAACCACATGCATTGATTTTTACTCTTATATTCCGTAATGCTCAATGTATTTATACAAAAGAGACTGCCAGGATTGCAGCCCAATACCAGAGAGCATGGACAATAAGGTTTTTCAAAGATTGGAACGCATAGATGCGTACCGAATACGGACACACAGGAAATCCGTGAAAAGGAGGTGTCGCAATGACTGATGTCATATGGAGAAGACGGAAGTACGAAAAAAGACACTGGGTGATATGAATAACCAGCAATTAAAGACACATAAAAGATTGATTAACCAGAGATCACAAGCAACTGAGGAAGCCTATGAGAGAGGCGAAACGTGTCTTGCAACACCAGAAACTGACTTTATATCGATTTTATCTATTTGTTTTATTTTGTTATCCATAAAAATTTTTTTGCACTTCACTTGACATCCAGCAGATCTGTGAGGTGGACCAGAGGGCGTGAAACCAACGGATGCATAGAAAGGGAGTGAGATCCCCACAAATATTCCCACATGCGTACACATTGAGCCTAGAGATACTGACTCTATTCCTGTGAGTACAAGACTAGAGATCGCTTCTTTACTAATATTTCTGCATTTGACAATATTGCACTCGGATTTGGTTATCCCCCTTGTTTTTTTCAGCTTGCATCGCTCTATATTTCTATCAAGCACCATCTACCCAAGAATCAACCAACTCACCCTATTGTATGTATGTATAGCTTTTATTTGTGTGGGCAAAGAGGATACCACACAGGTGTTTAGAGTGTGTTGGACTTTTTCGGCTACACATCAGGACTTTGTGTTTATTATGTAATATATATTTAGAGTGTATAAGTACAGGCGCCTATTTGTATGCAATAAAGTGAATTCTGAATGCGTTTTGCCTTATCTTTCTACAGTTGCAAGAGTCTCTCACTCTTATCGTTCCCCAGTTGTATCTCCCTTTTGTTTCTTTCTTTCATCTGCATCTCCCCATTTGGTCTACTTCTTCATTCTTATAATTCTTCTACTTCTTATAATCTTACCCCACTTGTGTCTCCCACCAATCTTTTTCCACTTATGGAAAAATATCCATTAATTTTTTTTAAAACACTAAGTATAACTGAATATATGCTTTTCACAAGACATGTGGGATTGCCTGGAATGTACCATAATCATCTGCACTTTCAAAAATAAAAAAAAAGGTTAACAATCAGAATATCTGAATATAAATTCACGTCCTACAGTTTGTACAGAGCATCCAATATTCCTGTAAACACTGGAGGAATATATATTGCACCCCTCCCTGTCACAGGTGCCTCATCCCAGGGCCCTATTTAGCCTTGTACTGCAGAGAGCCCCAGATGGAATTTTTTCCTCAAGTAAGTGGTTAATCTCATAAGAGCAGACATTAGGCTGTTAGTGTAGGACCTGCCAAAGATGGGGTACATTGACGTTGTGGCAGGCTTATGCAATGTATGATCATATAATGTAACTAAACCCCCATTATTTTTGCCTAGATTAGGTGTTTTTAAAAAAACTAATAAAATCTTTCAACATTGAAGTTGCTGTTTGGTGGATAGGTGAGTGCGCTGGATCTTGTGTTTTGTGTTTTATATATATATATAAATATATATATATATATTTTAATATAGGTTGAATTCAGTATCTATAACTTTAACGAGTTGCATTTTGTAAAATACTTCTAGGAGAAAAACACTATAACTATATTGATATTATATATTGTAGCGGATGGCACTGGGCTGTCCTGCAAATGTCTTTGAAATAACTGCATTCGTGTGATCTACTAGTTTTCTATGTGTTTTAAAAGAATTGTATTCCTCTGATTGTTTGGTAGTTTCATTCCCTTAGTTTATTCGAATGAAAATACCGAACAACCAGACCTCCCCTGTGTGATGTGTGTCCTCAATTACCCGTTGCAACATTGTTGCGAACGGGTAATTGACTAGTAAGTAGCCGTCCTTTGTTCTCGGGGGTGGCCGCCATTCGACAAATGAACACGTGGCGGCGGCCATTTTAAAAC